CTCTTTACCATCACAAATTAAGCTGTTAATGGACAAATAAATGCATGCATGACATCTTTTTCCATCATGTTTGGACTTAAACATATTCTGGTTGTGGTTTGGTAAGTGAAACTTTAGTGACACTTTTCTAAATGTATGTTTGGACTATGCAAATAAGTTCCACAGGAGGAAAGAAGGGTGGGCCCCACCGTGTTCCCCCACTCTGATAGAAACAGCCAATCACAGCACAGGAATGGTGAAGCACCAAATTGCAATCTCCTCCTCATCGGAAAGGGATAAAGGTACCCTTCCAACAGACACTCCTTGTTCTCCGGCCTGCATGGTGGGAGATACTAAGTGGTATCTCCCAGATACTATTGGAAGAGACAATAACAGATACCATGTTCTGAGTCTCCAGCTTTTGAGACAGCAACAGATACGACCACGTTCTGAGCCTCCAGTCTGCGAGGAAAGAGATACTCTAAGTTCAGAGCAACAACAGATGCAGCATGTCCCGAGTCTCCATCCTAGAGAGACAAAGCGGACTGACCAAGATCTGAGTCTCTAGCCCAGAGAGGCAGAGGACATACATTTGCAACAAGGTTAAGCTCCGGCGAGCAAACCTTCACTTCAAGGTATGTTGGTCTGTGTGTTCCAGACTAAGGACCTTCTGCACCTACTCCAGGGCCACATCTGCATTCCAGATTTTAGGACCCTTTGGTGCTCCAGGAGATCAACATACAGTGCTTTGTGTTCAAGACTGTTGAAACGAATTCCTGCTCCTTTCCCCGCACTGTTACCAGCACAACCAGTGGAAGAAGTCACCGCCACCGGACTGCTCACTCGACCACAGAGAACGTAAATGTCACTTATCCAAACCTCTTCCAGAGGCCGTGGATATTATATTATTGCATATTATCAGTATATGATTTACTATTTTACATTAGATGTTATATAGCTAATCATTTAAGAACAAATATCCATTCATTTATTTGTTTGAGGCATAATAATGTTCTTCACCTGATTAGTTTCAGTTTAACTTTTCATAAGATAACGTAACTCTGCCATAGCAACACCCAACTGAATCACTTGCATTTTATGCATCTTATGCACTTTATTCCTTTTTCATTTATGGTATTCATTTAGTAGTTGTTGATTACTCTTGTCTATCTTTTGTTAATACAATTTATTTTATTACACTTGTGTCTTCCTTACAGTAGTCAGTGTTCATTAATTGATAATCTGCCCCATAATCATAATTTGCATGAAAAATAGTAAAAGTTGTTGATGTTTTACGGCCTCTAATGTTCATTTCAGCTGGAAACTGCAGTGAATTGTGTAAAAATACGGGTACATTCTTTTTTCTTTTGAGTTTTGCCAAAATGTTGGTAGAGGCACGTTTTTTCCAATGAGCCTGGGTTGTGCAATTAATATGCCTAAATCCATAAAAGAACTGTGGAACCTCAGAGATGCCTGGAACAAACTATCTACAAGATATAAATAGATAAAGGATATAAATAACCTTAAAAACATTTTTTGTCACGCATCTAAGGTGCCTAAGACTTTAACATAGTACTTTCATAGTATATAGTAATAATGAGCACATGCACATCCCACTGCACCACAGCTCAGACACATAAGGTTTGTGGAAATATATTCATTCTCATTTTTAAGCACATCATAGTATTTTTGTAATGGTTTTTACATTTTTATGACCTTTCTAAAACCCCTCATTTGGAACAAAATTACCTGTATCTGACTGAGAAATTGTGGTGTGCATTATAAATACTGATTGTGGGTGACAAACGGAACAAAAAAAGTCTGTGGAAACAGCCACAAATAAAGAGGAAGTGCTATCGCAACATGCAAGTGCAAGGACAACACTGAAAGAGAGAAGATGGCAGGAGTGAACATGAACTGAAGAAATTAAATGTCACATGATTGAACAAGTCAGAACTTTGTCCTCCTGTTCATAACAGCATTAAAATTAGTTTGTGATAATGAGTGAGCGTGAGTGAATGTGTGTGTTGTATGTGTGTGCAATTCAGTAAACCTGAAAAAATGTGGGTCTGTGTGTAGTGTCGTCAGAGTGCTCTTTGAGGGCGTTGCATCATTGACAGATAGGCTATACAGTACACAGATTTCACTGCTTGTCAGCAAGGTACAGGGAAGGAGAGGAAGAGAAATACAGTTCATAGACAAACAAATTCCTGCCTCAAGGGGACTACAGGACAGGTATGTATGCATTTTTTGATTACTCTTGTCTATCTTTTGTTAATACAATTTATTTTATTACACTTGTGTCTTCCTTACAGTAGTCAGTGTTCATTAATTGATAATCTGCCCCATAATCATAATTTGCATGAAAAATAGTAAAAGTTGTTGATGTTTTACGGCCTCTAATGTTCATTTCAGCTGGAAACTGCAGTGAATTGTGTAAAAATACGGGTACATTCTTTTTTCTTTTGAGTTTTGCCAAAATGTTGGTAGAGGCACGTTTTTTCCAATGAGCCTGGGTTGTGCAATTAATATGCCTAAATCCATAAAAGAACTGTGGAACCTCAGAGATGCCTGGAACAAACTATCTACAAGATATAAATAGATAAAGGATATAAATAACCTTAAAAACATTTTTTGTCACGCATCTAAGGTGCCTAAGACTTTAACATAGTACTTTCATAGTATATAGTAATAATGAGCACATGCACATCCCACTGCACCACAGCTCAGACACATAAGGTTTGTGGAAATATATTCATTCTCATTTTTAAGCACATCATAGTATTTTTGTAATGGTTTTTACATTTTTATGACCTTTCTAAAACCCCTCATTTGGAACAAAATTACCTGTATCTGACTGAGAAATTGTGGTGTGCATTATAAATACTGATTGTGGGTGACAAACGGAACAAAAAAAGTCTGTGGAAACAGCCACAAATAAAGAGGAAGTGCTATCGCAACATGCAAGTGCAAGGACAACACTGAAAGAGAGAAGATGGCAGGAGTGAACATGAACTGAAGAAATTAAATGTCACATGATTGAACAAGTCAGAACTTTGTCCTCCTGTTCATAACAGCATTAAAATTAGTTTGTGATAATGAGTGAGCGTGAGTGAATGTGTGTGTTGTATGTGTGTGCAATTCAGTAAACCTGAAAAAATGTGGGTCTGTGTGTAGTGTCGTCAGAGTGCTCTTTGAGGGCGTTGCATCATTGACAGATAGGCTATACAGTACACAGATTTCACTGCTTGTCAGCAAGGTACAGGGAAGGAGAGGAAGAGAAATACAGTTCATAGACAAACAAATTCCTGCCTCAAGGGGACTACAGGACAGGTATGTATGCATTTTAAAACTATCAGTGAGCTGTGTCAATGTGATTGCAAGTAAAACTAACTGTATAATGCCTACTGTTGCCTAATGCATTTTTTTTTTACAAATAAGACACTAATTCAAAATCTATGTATCAAAAAGTGCACCGCTGATGCTTTTAGCACAATAGATGAAAATAACATCTAGCTTTTATTCATACAACATTTATGTTATTTTAATTGTAAAGAACATTTGGAGACCCTTCAGCAGACAAGCAGTCTCATGAATTTTGGTCTCAGACACCAACTGTGTTTGTTGCAGTAATGCTTTTCTGCCAGTCTTCAAACTATGCAAATTCACTATAATGATATGCCATCAAACCTGTTTCACTGTAAAAAAACAAACTAGACTTAAGAACAAAATTAAGACAGACAAATACAAACATGCTTATTGCTTTAAGGCAAGTTAAGCGTGGCTTGTAGGTGTTCAGTCACACTTCATTTTAATGCCGTTTGACTACATGCAAATTACAACCCATATCGTATCCTGCAGTTGATAAGTGTTGCTGTCCTGCAAGAAGTTTAATATCAAAAGAATAACAACTTGCAACAGTAACATTTTTGCTCTTTCACTGACTGACTGTGCGACACCAGAGCAGTTTCCTGTCACGTACACAAGCTCACACGTGGACACCTACTCATAAAAAAAAAAAAACAGAAATGAAACTTTTTCATACGCAAACCCTTAGTGTAGCTAAAGGTTAAATTCAGTCAAAAGTTAAACAAAAATGGCCCATATACCTGACAGTTTCCTAGAATCATAAGGAGCTATGTGAATAGTTCTATTATATAGAACTATAATAGAAGTATTCTATTATATGTTAAAAATATGAATGCTTGTGTAGAGATCTAATCAATAATAAAAGGGATTATAATACTCTTAATACCTATCAGACAGAGACGCCATCATAAGATATGGAGAGAAGGCATGTAAGGTAATGGCATGGCATCTTAAGGCAGACCAAAACAGGCAAATGATCAATTCTATAGATATCGGTAATAACATTTCCCATAACCCTACAGAGATAAACAATGCTTTTAAAGAATTTTATGAAGAACTTTACACATCCCAAGTGAATGAAGATCTTAACCAAATGTAAGCTTTTGTCTCCTCTGTCGATCTACCATCCTTATCTGAAGAGAATAGATCTAGCTCGGATAAACCATTTTCTATATCTGAGCTGAATGAAGCTATACAGTTATTGTCTTCCAATAAACCACCAGGGGAGGATGGCTTACCCCCTGAATTCTATAAGAAATTCAGAGATTTGCTTACACCACTGGACCAAGCCAGAGAGGATAAATGCTTCCCAGATAGATACTTTTTCTAATGCAATCATTTCAGTTATTTATAAGAAAGGTAAAGACCCGTTACAATGTACTCACTTCTCAATACGGACTATAAAAGAGTAATTAAAATGACTAATTGCTATTAAAATAAAAATTGCTACCTGTATTGGTGAAGCCAGACCAATATTCTAGAAGAGCAACACTACCATTTCAATATCTTCTCCATTGCTCTCATTCCCACAGATGCACTGGGAGTGGTTCAGATATTCTGTTGTGACATTCAACTTTTGAAAATGATCACTGTGGTTTATGTAACTGCCATGTTGATGTGTTTATTTTGCAGTCTGTCACATAGCTTTATGCATGGCGGGTGAGTCTAGACGATTTTTTTCAATCTCAGATCTATTTTTCCTATTAGTTCTCAGTCTATTTTTGGTGTTGTTCCTTTTTTTATGTATGTATGCATTTATTTATTTACTTATTTATTTATGTGTTTATTTTATTATTAATATTTTAGTACCATTTATCCAGTTTTAACATTTAATTGATCCAAATTCATTCAAAGCTAATGATGAATACTATCTAAGAGTAGTATACAAAATATCACTTGATTTGCTTTTATCAAATCAAAGTTTGTGGGCATCGTTAAACTCTGTGCTCTCTTGTTCCAGGCAGCAGCTTTGAGGCTGAGTTCCTAAAGAGTCACAATGCATACCGCAAACAGCATGGAGCGCCGCCCCTCACCATAAACAAAACCCTGTGCCACTCCGCACAGGCATGGGCGGAGCATCTGCTGTCAATCACGACCCTCAAACACAGCAACAAGGACTACGGAGAAAATCTGTATTATGCTTGGAGTTCAGCTACCAAAAAACTCACAGGTTAGCTTTCTGCTCGAAAAAACAGACAATGAAGTCAAATTCTTCTAAGAGGCAAATCAAGGATAAACGCTATATCAGTCATTTGATAAGGATAGTCAAATCCAGTTAGACCGCTCTGGTCAGTGGTCAGAGTTGAATGCATCAGAATTAGAAGCCATTGCAGGCGTTATGCAGGGTGTCAGAACTTTGTAACTTCATAAGACATTAAACTGGAGATATATGAAGCATTTGTGTTTTTATAAACGTCATTTGTATTGCACACTGTCAACTAATTTCTTTTAGAAACAATTACATACCTTATGTCTCCACTTTCTACAGGACATGAAGCAGTGGAAAGCTGGTACAGTGAAATTAAAGACTACAACTTCGGCAGGCCTGGATTTTCTCCAAAACGGGTGATTCCACCTGAAAACACTCTGGTGTGGCTAAACGTTTGCTCTAGTCTCTTTTACAACACTGACTCCTAGTGGTTTCTCCAGGTCACTTCACACAGGTGGTCTGGAAGGACACTAAAGAGGTGGGAGTTGGACTGGCCACTGATGGGAACACAACTTTTGTTGTGGGTCAGTACCTACCAGCTGGAAACATCACAAATGCAGATTATTTTGAAAAAAATGTCCTACCGGCAGGCACCAAAGTAGACTCAAAGTCCACTGGTACAAGTGAGTAAACTTTCTAGTGGAATATATATATTCTTTTTTTCTTTTTATATGTTCTTATTAAGCTTTCTTAGGATTATTTTTTAAACATATTATTACTAAATTATTAATAAAAATTATAGAGAGTAGTTCTAATAGTAGATATGGACTTGACAGTGAATAGTGTAAAAGATTGTATTGTAAAAGAGGTGTTGATGATCATTACAGTATAGTAAATATTTTATATATCTGGCAACATTCAGCTGACAAAGTGGAACAAGTGCATGGTGCATCAGGCATAAATTCAAAGCAAGCACCTTCAGTGCTTCGCAGTACTGAAATATCACCACCCGGGGACCGAGGAGAACATCATGTGGGAAGCAGCTTAAAGGGTAAGTTGAGTTAAGGTTATTTGTTTCATGTAAATACTTTATAATGATACATAAATGGCCACAAAATGTATTTTAAAATTGTGCAGCTTTTCTTTCAGCACTTTTTCTGGTGGGGTCATCTTGTTTATACAAATGCAAACATGGACTGTGTTTAAAAACTCACCTTTCATCATAATTATCTGTCTAGCCTTAATGCAAATGAAATATGATAGTCCATTCTTTGTACTGGTGCTTTATGGCTTCTGAAATGGAGCATGTGCACCGCAATACATTTAAAAGAAAAACACGTGACTGAGGATATTAGAATCAAAAATTGTCTTTATTCTTTCAGTCAGCATGGGATGCGCTTTGTGCACATCAAATAACTCTTTATGTTTGTCTGTAGCAGACAGCAGCTTTGAGGCTGAATTCCTGCAGACTCACAATGCATATCGCAAACAGCATGGAGCCCCACCCCTCACCATAAACAAAAACCTGTGCCGCTCCTCACAGGAGTGGGCCGAATACCTGCTGTCAATCAGTACCCTCATGCATAGTAGTGGAGAGTATGGAGAGAATGTGTATTACGCTTGGAGCTCAGCTAGCAAAAGACTCACAGGTCAGAGTTTAGTAGTGACTATATCTGTACCATTTGCTAATGTTTCACTTGCTCACTTTTCAGCCAGCCATCTTAGATGTAAAGTCTTTACATAAAACCCGGAGCTTGGGGTTTAACACATGATCTTGTCTGCATGTTTTCAACATTGCATGTTTGTAATTTACACAGGACGTGAGGCAGTGGAAAGCTGGTACAGTGAAATTAAAGACTACAACTTCAGCAGGCCTGGATTCACCTCCAAAACAGGTGAATCCATCTGTAAACACTCAACGGTGGTTAGACATTTGCTCTAGTCTCTGGTCTGACATCTGTTGGTTTCTTTAGGTCATTTCACACAGGTGGTGTGGAAAGACACAAAGGAGGTGGGGGTTGGACTGGCCACTGATGGGAACACAACGTTTGTGGTGGGTCAGTACCTCCCAGCAGGAAATATCAGCAATGCTGGATATTTTGAAAGAAATGTTCTACCAGCAGGCTCCAAAGCAGACTTCAAATCCACTCCCTCTGGTGAGTCTGGTATGACTATGTGTGCATGGATATAATACTAATTAAACTGAAAGTTTGACTATATAAACACACATGTATATATAATAAGACACTTATTGTACAATATACAATATTCACAGTTTTGAACATTTTTATTTGATGTTCAGCTGACAGAGTTGGACAAGCACTTGCTGCTCTCAGCATCAAGTCAAACCAATCACCTTCATCATCTCACACTTCTGGACCAGCACCACGTAAGAGTCAGTGTCCACAGAGCAGCAGTTCAGAAGGTAAGCACTCAAAACAGAGACTATGAAAGCTTATTTCAACCATATTAGAAAAAAGCATGCTTTGATAAAACAGAATTATGACGTAAAAAGTCATAAGTATGAAATAAAAAGTCAAAATGATGACAAAAGTGGGAATAATATTATGAGATTTTTTGTCATTATGACTTTTTGTAATAATTTTTTTAACCTCATAATTTTGACTTTTCATGTCACAGTTTTGATTTTATCATATAATTGTAACTCTTTATTACCAAAGCATGACTTTGTATGTTGCAAAAAATTGGCTTCCATGAGAAACAGAATTGTTTTTTCATAGTGGTTGAGCAAACTATTTTAACCACTTTATGATTATCACAGCACACTATTGTTTAATATAACAGTGTGCATTATTTATGTGGTTTTGCATCCATTTAACATCAACTGAATAAATGCAGAATAAATGGTTTCTTTGAGATAAAGAAATTTTAATTGGTCTTTGCTAGTATGTCCTTATTCAGAAACTATTAGTGATTTTAAAGTGCCCCTATTATGCCATTGTTAAGGTTCCTAATATTGTATTGGGACTCGGGAGTCTCCTACAATAGGTTTACATGCATGCAAGGTCAAAAAATGCTTTCGTTTTCTTAAAATATGCATTTAATATCACCTCATTTTCCAACAATTCTCACATGCATGCAAGGTCAAAAAATGCTTTCGTTTTCTTAAAGGGGTCATATGATGCGATTTCAAGTTTTCCTTTCAACGATTCGTTCAGAGCAGTTCTAAGATTCAGTCTCTCTAAACCCCTCCTTTCCGTGAGCCTACTCTGCTCTGATTGGTCAGATGGCCCAGTCTGTTGTGATTGGTCTACCGCATACAGTGCGTGCCGGAAACGATATGGCCATTGCCATAGTTCCATATTTTGAATGCTAGATAAAGAATATAAACATCTATTATTTATCATACTTAAACAGGCTGTGATTCAATGGAGCCAGCTGGTCCAAATAAACAGGATACTGAGCCATCTTTCAAGAGCAAGCGTTTTGTCAATCCCGCGTTGAACTCCCCGAGATTAGAGAAGCAGTGGTCAGTAAAATGACTTGTTTGTGGGCGGGGTCAAGTGGTTCGCAGCCAGCCAATGTAGAACATAGGCAGGGATTACGCAAGTGTAGCCATCACGGAAGTGGAATTCGAATTACTAACGACTCGTTTAGGTGATTCAGAGTCGATTCTTTATCTTGGGAGACAATAACTTTATTTATTGTGCACTTTTGGCTTCACAACTTTACACATCATTTACATTCACATACAGCTACATTACACACTGCATGAAAGGCAATATTGGAAATGGCATAATAGGGTACTTTAATTAGTATAGTAGTTACCAGCAATTAGTTTGAGAAGTTCATCTCCCACAAAGACTACTTTTTGGAAACGGCACCATTTGATGTATAGGCAGTATGTGCACAAAATGATTTGAAATACTGTTAAAAGTGAAGCTAAAATGTCCAAAGCCTTATTCTCCACTCACAAGTCTCTTCAGGATTTACAGCTCTTTCTTTTCCTGTGATGAAGGTGAGAACTTGTCCCAGTTTCGTCAGTCTCTCCTTGAAGCGCAAAATGATTACAGGCGGCAACATGGAGCACGGCCTCTGTCACTGTGCCCCATTCTCAGTAAAGAGGCTCAGGATTGGGCAGCACATCTGATTAGCATTAACGCCCTAAAGAACAGCAGCAAAGGTTATGGAGAGACTATGTCATACAAATGGACATCCACCATGGTGCCTCCAACAGGTAAATTGGTTATTACCCCAAAGGGGCCTATTTAAGGAACTGTAGCACACTATAATTATACACTCTAAAAAATGCTGGGTTAAATACAACCCAGTGCTGGGTAAAATAGGGACAAACCTAGCAATTGGGTTGTTTTGACCCAGCTATTGGGTTGTTTTGACCCAGCGGTTGGGATGTTTTGAACCCAACCGCTGGGTCAAAACAACCCAATAGCTGGGTTTGTCCCTTTTTAACCCAGTGCTGGGTTATATTTAACCCAGCATTTTTTAGAGTGTAACCTTTATAGAAAAACGGATTATTTTTAAACTATAGGAAATGAGGTTGCTGAATCATGGTACAAGGAAAATGTGAAGTACAACTTTGCAGCCCCTGGCTTTCAGAATGGAACTGGTAGGCTAATTTTGCACTCATATCAGTTGAAGAGTTAAAACAGTTAAATCTATCAAATCAAATGGCAAATATCAAGTACATATGTAAGAAATGCTAATGTTAATTTACATATAAAAGTCAATACAATCAAACAATCAAATTATAATCAAAGTCAGTCACAAACCATAACTGAAAATTTAAAATGTGGACAGGTAACTTCACCCAGATTATCTGGGGGTCTACAGAGCAGGTTGGGGTCGGCCTGGCATCAGATGGAAAGGGCAAATTCATCACTGTGGCCTTTTACAAACCTCCTGGCAACATCAACAACCCTGGCTACTTCCAGGATAATGTCAAACCTGCTGGGAGGTGATCTGTTGAATAAGATTATTCAGTCAGTTATACAGTCTTATGCATTTTATTAATGTAATTTAAAAAAAAAGTGATCCAAGATATTACTTGTATGTTAACAGAAAGTCAATCATCTAAATATATTGCATATACAAATACTCAATTGACAACTGCCCCTTTGACAGTATGCTTGTTTTATTTTTCACCTTTTTTTTTTTTTGCTTGGTTCTGGTATATTTATATTCTCATTCCTTGCTGAGGTGGTATTCATTCCTTCATTGTGATAAGAGATGGTGAGTGACTTACAATGTATAAAAAGATGATACATCCTAATAAAATATCAAAATATATTTCTGACTAAATAAGACACTATACGAATGCAAATGTTCTGTACATGTAGTTATTTATCTTAATTGTTGTATGTGGTGTGACTGGTAATCATGACTTCTATGCTGGTGACAAAAGAAATTACTTTTATAAAAAACATTTTAATATTTCATCTTAAACGTCAGCTTTCATCAGATATATAAAGCTACTGAAATGCTAAGTCTTTTATCTCTTTCCCAAACACACACACATCCTCATAGTTTGAATTCCCTTATAAATATGCACATTGACATATGCATCTAGATGTGAACACTAATCTTGCACAGCCCCAGAGAGCTTGGGCGGGAGTGCAAAACTGAAATGGCAAGGTGTCATGTTGCATGAACATCTCATCACATTGTGTTGCTGGCGAAACATGAGATGCTCTTATCTTAATTTTTACATGCCCTCCTTCATGAATACTCACCCTGAATAACATAAAGGTCAAAAACTTGTTTGATAAACTGAAATGTATATACCTTTGCTGGGGTTGAGGTTTTGTAGAAATATAATGCCTGTTGGCTAAAAAGAAAAAAGCTTCCTTATTAAAGAAACCTGCCTTATCACTAATATAAATAGCTTTTAAGATAAAATTCTGATTTGAAAACTAACATAAGAGCATTGCATTGTAAAATAGGAGTATGCAAAAGAGTGTCAAGTGACAATATCCAAGGAAGGATATATTGAGGATGTCTTCAGACCCATGCATTTGTTGATAAAAGTTTTTAGGTCTGTTCCAACTTCAAATTAACAAGGAAATGAACTTAGAATGAACAAAAGTTGTTTGTTTTCTTGTGTATACTTTGGATAGCAAACAAACAGAAAAATTAGCTTTGTTTTATGTTTCCTTGGTCACGAATGTACAGTACATACAGTAGACCTATATCACTCTGTATGAGTCTGAAAATAGGCCTCTGTGTGGGGAGTTTCTATAGAAGTACTGCTGTTTCTATAGAGCTGTTTTTGCTCTGCCTTTGGACAGTGGAGGATGTTTTCCAGCTAGGTTAGCTTTCCTCATAGGGATCACCAGCAACAGAAGGGAAATGAAAACAGGGTAAAGCCTTGACAATAAATAAATAAATAAATAAAATAAGACCCATAAACCAGAGTGTGTGGAACACAAGCCTAAAACATTTTATATTTATGTGTTTAGTCAACTTAAACTAAACTGAAGAAGGTGAAATCATTAAGTTTCAGGTCAAAAGCTATAGGGAGTGTGCATGATGTCCCACTTTGCCTATTCAAAGTTCTTCTTTTTTTGTCTTGTTTAAAAAGAGATGTGTGTGTGTGCAAGGCAGCTGCTGCCAGTGTTGTTACACTTTGAGCATTAATCAATAATGCAGTGCATAGTTTTGCCTTACACTCCTACTTACACACACACACACACACACACACACACACACACATACAGTATATACAGCCTCTCAAGTTCAGACTTTCCCAGTCCCTGAGGGAGTATCTCATTCACACATCAGTGCCCTAAGTTTCGATGAGTCTTGCTGCAAACACAGTACCCTTCAAATATTTTGGGTAGGTAATAATTTGTAATGTATTTCAATGTCTCTTATGCTCACTAAGGCTGCATTTATTTTAACATAAGCATAGGTCGCCGTGATTTTGCTAAGTAAGACATGTTCCAGGATCAACATCTTTTGTTGATCCTGGATCAACACAACTGTCCAAAAATATAGACTTAACCCAATCCCTACCCCTAAACCTAACCCTACCCATAATTTATTCCTAAAAACAGTGTGAAATGATAGCTGATTAACAAGGGTGTAGAAGCACCTAACTCTGATTGTAAGCCTAAAACAGATATTTCATGAAAAGTTATCCCTCAATTCTGATTGGTTGATAGGAACAAGGATGTTGATCCAGGAACATGTTGTACTTGGTGAAATCACAGTCACCACATAAGCATAGTAAACAGTAATATTGTGAAATATTATTAGAATTTAAAACAACTGTTTTCAGTTTTAATATACTTTAAAATTTAATTTATTCCTATGATGTCAAAGCTGATTTTTTTTGTTTTTTGTTTTGTTTTTAATCAGACATTGCTCCGGTCTTTAGTGTCACATGATCCTACAGATGCCATTCTTATGAAATGCCGATTTGGTGCTGAAGAAACATTTTATTAATATCAAAGTTGAAAACAGTACTGTTAAATGTTTTTATTAAAATATAAATCTTTTTTCATTCAAATGGAATAGAAATAATTTGTAGCAATCAAAATGGCTTCACTGTCACTCTTGATCAATTTAATGCATGCTTGGAGAAGAAAAAGTATTATTATTATTGTTTTAATCTTACTGACCCCAAACTTTTGAAAAGTAAGTTTAAGGGTATTGTGTTCAACAGTTGATACCATTGCTCTGTTGAGCTTTCAATAGTCACATAGTCTTGTTATGTATAAAGGCTTAGTAAACTGTCCTCTTACATGTCATAAAATCTTGGATCTTTCTCTCAACAACTCAACATATGTCCTAATGTGGAAATTCTATCTGCCCTTGTCATTAATCCTATTTCATTTTGTACTGGCTCAGCCTATGTGTGCTTCTGTCATAGCATGCATGAACTGAATCCCCTCTAAGGATGTATGACACCCTGTGATACTCATAAATAATTAATCGATGTTGTACATCCAACTTGTTCTCAGCACTTTAGGGATGGCAGCACAATACAGGCCTACACAAATACTTTGCTGTATCCACCTTATTTTTCTCACAAGAGCAGGCATGGCCATTTGTAATTACAAATTTCATAAAATGTATGGGTCTGGCTTCCGGTGTCATCTGTTTCCAGCTATTTTTAATTGTACAAAACAGTTTGTTTTGCTGCTTGATATTGCAAATTGGTGTGTCTAACCATATTATATATTAGCGGCTAATGAACCGGAAGTCTCGCACATACACAGAAAATGTCTTACTACCGCATTGAAAAATAAGGTGGATTGGAAATTTGAGAAATCTTGCATCAGCGAGGAATAATTTACTACTCAAGTACTTTTGAGTATGTTCTTCATGTTCTTTAGCATTTCTATGTATGTTTCTGAGTGTGCGTTTCTGTCTGTACCTGTGTATATTGACAAGTTTGTGAAATTAAATAAAGAGGTGCTGAAACAGGGTCAAAGATATTAATTTCAAAGCCACAGGGTACTATAACTATTTTCTCATGTTCTCATTCATTTGTTATTTACATCAACAGCGACAGATCATTATCAGAATGGGTCAACTAATGGAGGTGCTATACAAAACGAAAATACAAAGACTTAGTGGAGGAAATATACATTTTTGTGATCTCTATCGCAGGATAGTTTACTACTACCCTGTTGAAAAAAACAGCATATGCTGGTTAGGTATGTTTTGACGCTGGGATGCTGGTTTAAGCTGGTCCTTTGCTGGTTTATGCTGGTCCTTTGCTGGTTTAAACTGGTCCTTTGCTGGTTTAAGCTGGTCCTTTGCTGGTTTATGCTGGTCCTTTTGCTGGTTTATGCTGGTCCTTTGCCAGCACATGACCAGCATAAACCAGCAAAAGGACCAGCTTAAACCAGCAAAGGACCAGCTTAAACCAGCATCCCAGCGTCAAAACATACCTAACCAGCATATGCTGTTTTTTTTCAACAGGGTAAGCCTTCATACATAACTCTGATTAAATATTGATTTAGTTCACCAAAATGGTGAATGTCAATAGATAACCCTTGACTTACTTTGAAAAGTCAACGCACTCTAATGGCATATTTGTTAGGTCTACTATTTTACATTTTTGCAAATCTGAGGTTAATTTAGGTTTTCTGTGGCCTAAGGTTTAGGGGTGGCCATTCATGTTTATGTTTTTTGTTGTTGTTCACATTAATAAAATCACCTCTTTGTAAAATAGTTACGTTTTCTTATGAGATCAGCAGACAGGAGGCAACTTGGAAATAAAGAGATATAGAGCTGTGGTTCTTAAATGGTTTTGCTTTATGACTCAGAATTTACACCTAGTTTCTTAAATGTCAGCTATAGATGTTTAATAAGTAGCCTAACATTCCCCCAGCCATGACATAGCCTACAACCGATGCTATACTATACACGTAAATCTCAAATCCCAGCAAATGCAGCTTCCTTCAATGAATTACATTTTTCATTGGCATTCCAGCTGGCATGCCTGGACTTAAAAATAAGTAAATGTAAAACTGATTGCAGTTTTTAATACTGTTGTTGTTATTGCTCATGATACTATAGTCACGCATAGCATAAGTTACACCCAGAATAAGGTCAAGGAAACAAATAAATGGTAAGAGAATATTTTGCTAAGTAAATGTGCATGTAACTATAATTTAATTAAATTCTAATATTGTCAAGTGTGGTAACTCCTGTGCAAAAGTTAAGCAAATGAATTCAGTGTACGAACGGAATTATAGTTAACAAGTCCAAACGTGCCATGTACTGTTTGGTGAAGGTGGTGCTTGGTAACACGATTCTCAATGAGAAAATAGGTCTATTCAATGATAAAAGCTGGTCTAAATGCGATGCGTATCTGGTTACCAATACAAAACGGTTTCTGGGCGATCTCTGTGTTGTAACCATTGACAACAGATTAAACATCTCTAATCCAATCAAAAACAGAAGCGACATGATAGCGCGTGCACCGCAACCAATCAAACGCGGACAGAGAATGATTGACGTCTCGTTCATCCGCCTGTGTTTGAATGCGAAGGCTGACGTTATTTAAAACTGAAAACCGTTAGCGGTGCTCTGCATAGTTTAGTCGACGCGCAGTGAGAGTACACTACATTTGGTTTTGAAC